ACTTATTTGTTAATACCCCTTCAACCTGATTTCAACGACATATGATTTGATATGTTTATCTTTAATAGGTATAGGGAAAAACGCGAAAGCCTCTTTATAGGTCTCATGTTATTTTTTTCAAATAATAATAACTTAAGACAACTGATTACTGAATTTATTTGAGACTAATTTTCTGACTGTTTCTGACTGTTTTCAACCAATGAAATTTGGTCTGATTGGTTTGTGATTGCTGTGCAAACATATCGTTGAGATCAGTTTGAAAGAGACTAACAAATAAGCGCACAATATACATGGTGTTCCATTTAAAAAAATATAACTTCGCTCTGCTACACTTTTTTAACTCAGCCTGTATGCTTGATACTGACTTAAACCGAATTTTCGCGACGAATGTAGTTCGTCCAAGAACGAACCATAGTTCGTTCAAGAACGAACCATAGTTCGTCTGTGACGTCATGAGTTTGAACGCTAGCTAGAAGCTGCATCCATGCTTCCGTCGAACTACGTTCAATATGACGTCATGAGTTTCTCGCAAGAGCGTTTGTTTTCGTGAAATCATGGAAGTAGTTCGTCGCGAAAATTCGGTTTGAGTTAAAAAAAAATTGACAATTTCTTTAAACTTTTGTATGTGACACTTTTATCAAAAACGTCAAATGATAAAGTTAGGAGGAAGTGAAATTTATAATAGATCATCCTGTACAAAAATATTGAGTTGCCAATTATTTATTTTTATGTCAAATTTGTTCGTTTTATGTTTTTGTTGTTTTTGCTATACCTACTTTAACAATGAATTTGAATATTTTGTTGTGTATTTAGCTGTATTTTCAAAAAGTCGGATTGGGATTATTGGTCGCGTTCACCAGCACACAATATGTTGAGTGCTGGTGAACGCGACCATTATATTCTTTTCGTTTTTTTTCATGATATGTTTACATCACATGAATATAAATATTATGAAGTATTGCCGAGCTGCCGAAGATTCACGATCACGAATTTCAATAATAGGCAGAGAGGATAAATGCAGCGTGGCGATCCTGCAGTGAAATGTGTATCAGTCAACTGCTCCCATTTAAGCCTATGTTTCTGTTTCTAGTAGCCTACTGGTCCTGCCTGTATAATTTAACTCGTGTTTTTTTGAAGCCCGAGCCCCCATGGTAATTTTGAAGTTGTGGCGCCTATGCTTATATCTATATATACAAAACACAGTTTTGTTGGTTCTAGCACTTATAACTCGAGAACGGCTGTACTGATTTTTATGATTTTTGCTTTTTTGGATTTGTCTTTGTCCCTACTAATATAATTAATCGAAAAAATCAAAAAAAAAAAAATATATATTTTACTTATTTATGAAAAAAATTCACTAAGCCCGCATACGGCGCCATCTCTTATAACCGATACCAAGTTTATCGCCACATTTTCATTGCAAACCATTTTGTATACGGCGCCATCTCTGATACCTAGAATGAAGCTCGCCGTTGCGCGGTCATTTCATTGCAGATACAGTAGAACAATGCTGCTCGGGAACTGGAGCTATTCCAAACAGAACTATTCCACTATTCCGATCAGATAGAGTGGTGCAGAAAGAGTAGATCATATAGAGAAGTGCAGATAGAGTAGAAGAGATAGAGTACTGCAGTGCATGGAGTGCAGATAGAGTGAAACAGGGCTGCGCTGGAGATTTTTTTTGTTTTCTTTACATTCTTTGAACATTCCTGTGCCTGAGTTTATTTATTTGGTGGTACACTTTACAAGAATAATGCCCAGAAGCTGCCTAAAAAAGGATGATGTAAAATTTTAATTTTAGGTGACTTCTGATCCAGAGAGTAAACATTAATTTTCTTTAACCAAAGCCAAATTCGCACCACCGAAAAAAAAATGAATGTAATTCAGCTAATAGATACGTTAAGTGCGCGTTCACATTGACACCGCTCGAGCGGTGAGCGTTGCGCGATGCCGCTGTAGTGCTGCCCAAAAATTATTTTAACATTATATTTCAAATGAACAAGTTCACACTGAGGCGGCGGCGTGTCGCGCGGTATTAACATGTTCATTTGAAATATAATGTTAATAGTTATTTATGCAACAAGTGCGTAAAGTGAACCTTTTTCCACGAATGTGAATTTTGACAATCACATGAGTGAAAAAAGGTGCTTTACGCACGTATTGCATACTAAATTTTTTCTACTACCAATCAAATATGTGTAAAAAAAATAGATTTAAACAAATAGTGCGTGAAGTTTTTCACTTTACGCACTAGTGCGTGAAGTAATTTACCAGAAAAATTCTAAATTGACAGTGTGAACATCTGTCATTGACATTACTTTACGCACTAGTGTGTGAAGTGAAATTTTACGTCTTCTGAATAGTGCGTAAAGTAAGTACTTCACACATGTTAGTAGAAAAAATTATTTTTGGGCATCGCTACAGCGGCATCGCGCAGCGCTCACCGCTCGAGCGGTGTCAATGTGAACGCGCATTAACACAACATTTAAGTACTAGGTATTTAATAATTCAGAGGCGGTACGAAGTTCGCCGGGTCGCATCTAAACATTCCGGTATAGGATTCGGCACCTAGGCATATTTCATTGGTCCGTTTGAATTCGGACCGCCAATTAATGCGGAGTGCGGAAATCCGTACTTGAATGTTGAACGGTGCTGAGCCTCAGGTTGGAATGGTATATACATATACTATGTGGAGTGCCGAATCAAAGGTCAAAATGTTAAACAGTGCCCAGCTGCAGGTTGGAATGTTACTCCGTTAGCGCGGCACAAAATCAACAAACAAACTTTATTTACTTTTTGTTACACATTTATTTTATTTCAACGATACATTTCAAAAAATCTTGGATAATAATTGGCAGTGGCGGACCCAGGGGGGGGATTATAAAAACCTGAAAGCTGGCAAATTAGAATAGAAAATTTTGAAAATAAATACCCTAATATATCTATCTTTTTTTTTGGTATCTGTGGTGCCTAGTTTAATTAAAATATCAATTGAAGCCAGGCAACAGCAGTTTTTGGATTTTCCTTTCTTATTATTTCCTTGATCCACTTCTTTATAAGCACTATGATGGCATGCAAAAACATATCTAAAAAATGTATTTTCCAAACAATATTCGCATCCAAGAAGATTCTACGTCATTGAATTGACATTGAACACAAACCTGCATTTGAATCTGTTATAATTATTTTTCATTGACTTCACATTCCAATTCGTGTATGTTATATCACTATACTCTTCTATCCATTACTTTATATCGTTTTCCTCCAAAATGTTGGCTCGGTAAATTTGCTCACCACATTCAAAGTGTTTAAATGATCTAGGCAAACTCATCTTGCATGTTTAAGCACAAGAACACATGAAGCAACGGCGAAATAAACCGCATCCGTCGCAAAATTTTAGCTAAGAGGAACACGAAGGAGGTGGACAGCTGATTTAATATAAAAACTGCGCCAAACGCATGGCAACATTCGGACCTGATGCTCAGCACTGTTTAACATTTTGACCTTAGATTCGGCACTCCACATGGCTGTTGCTAATGGACCATTCTGACCTGAGGCTCAGCACCGTTCAACATTCAAGTACCGATTTCGGCACTCCGCATCAATTGGCGGTCCGAATTCAAACGGACCAATGAAATATGCTTAGGTGCCGAATCCTATACCGGAATGTTTAGATGCCACCGGGTCAGCTAGTAAAGTTATGTTTTAGGATTTTACGGTAAATTATCACTATCATCTCCAATGCATCCGATGGTTGCAAAAATTGAGAAATCTTCGATTTTTTTGAAGATTTTCTTTAACTAATACTCGAACTGACATAAGTGGAAAAATATTTTGTGTGAGAAGAATACCTTGTTTAATTTGGGGGCCCCAAATATCCCGGGGCCCTCCCGCACCGCGGGCCCTGCGGGCCCGTCAGGCACGCCACTGCAGGGGCGGCTGGTACATAAGGGCTGCAGAGCTGCAGAACCCCCCAAAATTTCCACATTCCTTGACTTCTTTTGAAGTTATTTAATATTTATTATTTATTCAAATATAACCGACTAAAATTATAGTTATGAAAACTATATTTTCGGCCGGGCATGCTAGTATAGTAAGCCTTCGATCCCTACTGCCTCGAATATTTTTTATCTGCTTCTAGCAGTGCGTACACACTTTTTCAATAGACTTCGCTATAGAGACCAGTGGGATGTGCGACGCGACGACGCCCGTCGCCCGACCCGCCCAGTCGGCCAAGCATGGGAGGTTAATAATACAATTTTCGCGTACAACATAACATAGCTGGGCCACTTTCGAGTTCTGTGCACGCCTGGGAACCCTTCCCATCTCCCCGCGCCGCACTTGGTCCTAGGTTTAGATAGCGAAATATAGGCGGAAATTGAGCTGCAGGATTTCCAGAACGTATCAATTTTTATTGTTTTTACGAGAAGACGGACAAGCGGGAAAGGGTGCTGGGGTGCTGTTGGTCGTGTTTGTTGTACCTATGCGTTTGTAACAATGGATGTGGTATATGATTTAATAAATGTAAAAAAAATTTCTCTCTATACCTATGAAGAAAAAGTGAGATTAAAAGAAGAAGGACGGCCGCTGCCCGATATTTCAATAGAAAAGTGTGGTTCAAGCCGGGGAAAATCGTACAAGCGGAATTTTACAAGAGACATTTATGCCAGAAACGACTGGATATGCGGATGCAATAAAAAGCATTCTCTTTTTTGTTTTCCGTGCCTTTTGTTTGGTGGAGATAAATCTTGGACCGTAGTTGGTGTAACCGACTTAGTGCACCTAAGCGAAAAAATTAAACGTCGTGAAACGTCGAAAAACCACTTAAATAATGTGATGAATCTGGGTATGTTGGGTAATGTTAATATTCGTGAAAAGCTGGACACTGCATATTGGACAAATATTCGATTGTTTAACGAGAACGTTACAAAAAACAGGTATGTGCTATCCAAAATAATTGATTGCATAAAATTTTGTGGATTGTTCGAACTTGCGCTAAGAGGTCATGATGAAACTTCGACATCCGATAACCCAGGAATTTTTCGTGGCCTTATAAATTTTACCGCTGAACTTGACAAAACATTGGCCGAACATTTGAGAGATTCCACTGTGTTTAAAGGTATATCCAAAGAAATTCAAAATGACATTTTGGATTGCATGTTAGAGGTTTGCCACGAAACAATTCTAGAGGAGATCCGAAAAACTTCCTATAATATTTCTATTATAGCGGACGAAACAACGGATGTCTCAGCCAAATCTCAGATGGTTGTAATTTTTAGATACATTCAAAATGGAGATCCCGTAGAACGGTTATGGACTTATTTGGAGCCATCAAATTTAACTGCAGAGAGTTTGACTGCTGATATTCTCAGTGTATTGGACCCTATTTTTGAAAACTCGAAAGAAAAGTTAATAGCCCAAAGCTACGACGGAGCCGCGGTAATGAGCGGTAGAAATACTGGTGTTCAGGCACAAGTCAAAGAAAAGTACAACTTCGCTCATTTTGTACACTGCTATGCGCATCAGCTAAATTTAATCATGTCTAAGGCAGCATCTGAAAGTCCCCAAGTTCGACTTTTTTTTTGGAAATCTTCAAGAATTACCTTCATTTTTTAAAAATTCTCCGCAACGCGTAGCTGTACTGAATAGACTTGTTGGGAAAAGAGTTCCCCATGGTGCACCAACACGTTGGAATTTTAATATTAGAACAGTTAACGTCGTTTTTGAACACCGCGATTCTATGCTTGAATGCATGCATGGAAGAAATAGAGAATTCATTCAGCAACCAAACTGTTTGTAGTGCAGCTTCTTCAATAAGGAGAATGCTACAAGATCCAAAGTTAATTTTTTGGCTAACATTTTTTCACCGTATCATGCCACACGTCGATATTTTGTTCAACGAATTACAAAAAAAAAAATTGATCCTGTGGAAATTAACCAAAAAATTCAAGTTTTTGAGCAGAGCATTCTATAACAGTAAGAAATTCAATGGATGAAATTATTAACGAAGCCGGGAACATAATATCTACTCTTGATTGTGAAACAATGCCTTCTAAAAAAAAAAAAAATGACAGTCAGTTTGATCACCGTATTGCTGCGTTAGAGGTTTGCGATATAATTATTAACAGTGGCGGATTTAGCATGAAGCAAACGACGCACTCTGCGTCGGGCCCCCAGAGCTGAGGGGCCCCCACACAACCGGATTCTAAAGGGACCGATAAAAACGAATAAAAAAAAAACTCGTTGATATAAAAAAAATCGAAAATTTAATTTTGAAAGAGACGGCAACGTTCTTGAAACCGGGAAAGAGCGTTCTCACGAGAAAGAACGATTGCTCTGTCTTTGTCAGTGTTATGGAAATAGAAATATGGGCAACTAAGACAGAACGCTTATCTCCTGTTTCGACAATAAAGGCCCTGTAAGGAATCCGGGGCTAGAATCATGACAAGTAGAATTCCACTTTCATGACGTCATTCGCGACACATTTATCGCATACAGTACAGGCCATATTGACAGTTGCTAGGCAACCTGACGTCATGAAAGTAGAATTCTAGTAGAATGTCGTGATCCCAGCCCTGATGCACTCGACGCGATGCGGAAACCGCGGACGCGTCGACTTTACGCTGGGTTATGTGATGTGTTAATTGTATCATACTCCCCTAACTCCCTCTACATCAAATTCTGGGCCTGCGAGTGACGTCACTATCAGCAGCTTGTAGTGATGACGTCACCCGCAGACTTCGATGGAATGCTTGCGATTCAGGCTGCGCTAGTGAGTTAATTTTTTCGTCGATTTTAAATGTAGAAAAGGTGATTTTCGGTTTGTTCTCACAGAAGAAATTAAGTGTTCTTTATCCTAGAGTATCCCAGAATTTGATGGTGGGGGAGTTAGGGGAGTATGACACAAATGACACATTGTGACAAAAGATTATGATTATGCTTGGTTATCCTCGCAAAAAATTGTTTATTGTCTTCCAGACTCAGATAATTTATTGCACTTGTCGGTGGAGTACGGACAGTAGCAGTGCAGTGGGGTACTACTATGTTGTATTTCTTTTTGTTTAGATAAAAAGTTCCTGAATTTTTACAACTTGTTTTCTGGCTCATATGTTCTTGATAAACTTGTTTTTTGATCAAATTGGTTTCTATATTTGGTTGTTAAGAACAAACAAAAAAAAAAAACTTCCGCACACTCACCTCACACCCCAACACCACAAGAAAAATACCTAAAAAAGCATGACAGGGCCCCAAAAAAATTTTTTGCGTCGGGCCCCAAAGGTCCCAGGTCACTGATTATTAACTGCGCAAAGGATAGATTTGATTACAAAAATCATCTGTTAGCAGCGTCATTACTATATGCTAATTACATTAATTGTTTTTCTGAACTGTCAGTGGTTTACTCCAGATCAGACTGCAGGGACCAAGGGCGTACCCAGGATCTGAAATAGGGGGGGGCTGACCAAAAAAAAAAAACAATGGATTTTGCATTTCTCTTTTTAATTACTAAATTTTGACATAACTCGCTTAATTTTTACTTCAATAACAATTTTCTTGGATTTGTCGCAAATTTATTTAAAACTTGATTTTCAAATTGCTCTCGATTTGATTTAATTAAATCACGATGCACACTCATGAGACATAATCCTGTTAACCTTTCCTCTCCCATGGTACTTCTCAACCAAGTCTTCACTCTTCGAAGAGTACTGAAGGATCGTTCTACAGTGGCCGTGGTGCATGGAATTGTGATTAAAATCAAAAGTGCCTGTTTTAGGATGGGATAAAAAACATCGGTCTCGTCGAGAAGGTCAGTTATTTCGACGTCTTTTAGCTGGTCCTCAGTTGACTTTTTTTCCTTCCACAAATTATACCATAGGTCCATTTCCGCAGTAATATCGTCCAATTTATAAAACTAGGTAAAATATTGTGCATTTTGTTCTACTTGATTGGTTTCCATGTCGAGCATATATAATGGATGTATTTTTGTTAAGGCAAACGCTGGAGTATGTTCTTGAGAAAAGCGAATATTTAAAGAGGCTATAATTGAATCCAGATACGGTATAATTAACGAACGCTTCCAGTAGTCACTATCACAGTCTGATGAAGGATTGTTTCTATGTATTTGCCTCTTGGTAATTCGAGGGATAGAAATTTCTATTTCCAATTCCAATGCAAAGTCTTGTGATTTTTTAAGTACTTCATCAATAACTAGGTCGGCATCTTCACGGTTTTTCTTCAGAACGTTAAGGATTACGTTCAGATGTTCTTGCAACTTAATTAAATCCATAGTTTTTGCTTGCAAGGCATTAACAACCGGCTCCAGTAAAGCTGAATATTTTGCAATTATAGTTAGGGCAACAATTAGTGAGGGTTTGGTAACGGCGGCATGCAACTGGTACGCAGATTTTCTCGTGGCGTAGTTTCCTTCGATAGATAGTTTTTCAAGTGATTTCACAATTTCGAGGAAATTTTGTGCAAATAAGCGAATACTTTTGTATTTTTCAGACCATCTAGTCTCACACAGTCGTGATAGATTAGGAGCGGAACTTCTGCGAGTGGTGGATTCCCTGAAAAAGGTTATAACATCCTTTACGGTGCCAATAGTGTTTCTAATTTCCGGAACATTATTTGCATCATTGACAACAAGATTTATTTTATGGTTTGAGCAATGAAAAAATAATGCTCGTGTGTACTTTTTCCTTAAAATCGCTTGTACGCCACCCTCTTTGCCCGCCATCGTAGCGCAGCCATCAAAACCAAGTCCTACACAACTATGCGGTGAAAAATTATAGCTAACTAAAAAATTGTCTATTGCATTGGCAATTGCTGGGGCATCCTGTGCTGTCAGCTCCACAAAACCCACAAATTCTTCTCGGACTTTTTTTTTACTTTCATCATAGAAACGCAAGCCAATGGATAGCTGCTCCTTTCCTGAAACGTCGGCTGTCTCGTCGGCTAAAACTGTGTAGAACATGGCTTTCTTTGCATCATTTATCACACTCTCCCTAATAACTTCGCCACATAAATATATGAGTTGGTTTTGTATTTTTGGTGACGTATAAACAGCATTTCTACGACACTTTTCCAGGTGATTCTTTAATTTGATGTCGCCCGACTCAACTCGCAAATTCATTAGATCGAAAAAAACTCCCTCATCTGCTTCTTTTCCTCGTAGAGGCATATCGTGTGTGCCACAGAATACTACACAGGAAATAATAGAGGCCAATATTTGCTTGTTCTCTTCGATTGTTTTTTGGTGGAAACTTTGAAGTTGAATATCCACAGGTATATTTTCGAGAAAGGCCTTTGCAGCAGCAGATGCAGATTTGTGAAAGTTATTGGTGGCATGTTTACGACAATCTTCGTGCATATTCCTAAACTTCGTAAATGGTCTGATCATAAATGAACCTAACACTCCCCTTACTGTGCCAGTAGAAGGAGGAAATAAAACACAGTGCTTACACAGAGCACCCTTTAGTCGCTTGAAATACACTAACCATGGTGTGTATTGATCTAACCAAGCATAATTAAATTTTCTTCGCAAATGACTGGCATCGGCTGTAATTCTTGGGTGGAACCCACGGATTTTTTAACAACTCTTTTTTCTTTCCATCGTCAGGTGAAATGTTTGTCCTACATAACGACCCAAGTCATTTTCGTGGCAACCATCATTCTCTTCAATTTCGGGATTGACTACAGAGCCAGATGTTGACGGTAAAGATTCTAAATTAGGAGCAGTGACTTTCTTAGATCTCAAAGAATTTAGCGGTTGCTCAGATTCAGATTCAGTTTTAGATGGGCTTGGCGATGAAATTTGATCATTGTTATCATCGCTCCCGCTGCTACTGTCATGTTCTTTTTTCCTTTTGAGAGTTTTAGTAGCTGCAAAACACAATAATGCCGCTATTAGTATTTTATACAGTGTGAGTGATATCCATGTTAGTGTTTTGTTTAACATGTAACATGGAAAAAAACATTTTGTTTTTTTTCATTGGAATTTACAGATATTACACAAATGTCGTCGAATGTAACTTACTAACTGTAACTTACCTGTTTGAAAAAATTTCCTGATATCCATTTATCAGTGTGGAGATACCGAGATGCCCGAAATAGGTAGATTCAGCAGATTTTCCAATAAGTACTGTAACGTTTTTAGCGTGAACTTGTTCGACTACGATGTGATAAAAGCTGCCAATTAATTAAAACTATACCTACTTTTATTAACACTTAACTAAAATTCACTCTGATTAATTTAACTAAACACGCTAACTAGTTTATGTAACGCCTTGTATCTTGTATTTATTTATAAAAGTATTCTATTCTTCAACCCGGCACTGGCGAAATCTGCCCTCGCCGCCCGACATTGTTCCTTTTATATCCGAAGCGCCTGCTTCTCGAAGATTCTCTCCGCAGCACGTACGAAACTTCGCGCTGCGTCTCGAGAATTCTCCACGCGGCCGGGAAGAGTCAGAGGCGGACTCAGGGTAATTTTCGTTACAGTACAATCTAATATAAATTTCTGACAATGTTTACTAGTGTAACGTAACTGCTAACAACATAGCATAGACGTTTATCAACAACTAAGTAAATTAAGTTTACTTGCAGTACTTGCACAAACA